CGTGGAACAAATTATCAATGCGCGTGTGATCATTCCAACGTCTTCGTAGTGTGTTCATGATAATCAACTCTGCGCAGAGTTTATGCAGAAAAGCCATTGGCTTTCTGTTGAAGATAAATAGTGCTAGCAAACCACACCTTAGCAACTGGACTTGGGAACTTAAGTCTCGTTATAATTTTGTCTTCATCAGTAGGACTTCTTTGGAGAAAAAAGTACGGGTGAGAATTACTACTTGATTCACGTAAAACCATGCCGTTTAGGATCCTGTTACAGTTCGTACATTTGTTTGTTTATATATATATTTTAGTGCAAGCTAAGCTAACTATGCAGTGAGAGAGAATAAAGCAGAAGGTGACAAAAGAATGCGCTTTATTTCATGTATTTCATGGATGTTATACCAGACCTGTAACAATATTTACCTTGATACAGCCAACACTATACTAATTCTGATCAGTTCAGAAATGTGTATATCAGTAACTTGTATATAACTTGTATTATACTTGTATTATAACTTGTATATCAGATTATAACAGCTGTGGCATTCCCATATGTAGTAATAATGTTCCGTATGAATATATGGTGCTAAAATGTGATTATGCTTGTTAATTATTTAAAAAGACAACAATGGCTTCTCGAGGGGCATCAGAAACAAGCAAACTCAGACAAAACATGGAAGAACAGCTGGACCGGTTAATGCAACAGCTTCAGGATTTAGAGGAGTGCAGGTAATGGCATCCCATCAGTTCTCTACAGCACATTCAGTTACATGCACAGAAAAATACAAAAATTTAATTATTTTTCTATTGCAGAGAAGAGCTTGAAGAGGAGGAATATGAAGAAACCAAAAAAGAGACACTAGAACAGTTGAGCGAGTTCAATGAGTCTTTGAAAAAGTTGATATCTGGGAATATGACACTAGTTGATGAACTGGGGGGAATGCAACTGGTAAGAATTTACATTTTATTGTATTGGAAGTTCATATATATATATATATATATATATAGATGATTTTTTTAAATTACTGTACAAAGACATCTAGACTGACGTCTACTAGTATAAATAATTTTGTATGCTGAGAGATCATTTATGACTGCACATATTTATCAGGCAATCCAAGCTGCCATCAGTCAAGCATTCAAGACACCTGAAGTCATTCGGCTGTTTGCAAAAAAGCAGCCAGGGCAATTGAGGACAAGACTGGCTGAGGTGAATATAATTTTTTTTTAAATATTAACATTTTCAAATATATATGCAAAGACTTAAAGGGGTCATATGATGTTGCTAAAAAGAACATTATTTTGTGTATTTGGTGTAATGCAATGTGTTTGTGCGGTTCTTATGATACTGTGTGAATTCAGATGGACCGTGATGTGATGGTTGGAAAGCTCCCTCGAGATGTGTACACTCAGCAGAAAGTGGAGATCCTCACGGCTCTGAGAAAACTTGGCGAGAAGGTGAGAAGGATATTATTGACACAAATACTCTCACATCTATTTCAAGACTCACATGTTAAACTGTTTCTGATATCTGTAACTTGTTTGAATGCACAGCTGACAACAGAGGATGAAGCGTTTCTTGCTGCAAATGCTAGTGCCACTCTGAGCCACTTTGAGAAGGTGACTGCGAGCCTGGGTAAGACGAGAAGCAGCTAATTATTACTAATGAAGCATACTTTGCTTACTAAATATCTCTTTAATAATCAAATGCATCTTAACTTTCCAGGATCTGAAGATAAGATAATGGCATTGGCCAGTTCTGGAGTTGGGAAGACCCCGACATAAAGGCTTACTAGGATTGACATTTATTGTGAGTGTGGCTTAAATGCTGTCTGTGCATTTTACAGTATTTACAGTAATTTTTTAAACAATGGTTGCAATTTGTACACTTAGGAACAGAATTGTCAGATGACATCATGTGGTCACTCAACCTAAAGTAAATACATTGGGATTCATCCGACAGTTATTTGTATTGTATACATCCTATTCCTATACATTTTATGTTTGATTTGGGTACAGTGAAAAAAAAGTGTTTACATTTTCAGTGAAATGTCTCAAATATTTACACATCATTTTAGAATAGTTCTTAACAATTTTTCTGAATACAGTGAGGTAAGATTGTCTTTATTCAAAAAGGTCTTGATTCATTTTTAACCCTTTGGTTATAATGTTATTTATTAATCTTATCATTAAGCTGTTCGCCAATAAGCCTTTGGTACTAGTATTTGATAGTAAAATAGACTGTGATTACTATGCATTTTAATTTTGTTTGTCATTACTTTTTTTAACCAGTGTGATATTTGTAAATGTTTTGTATTTGAATATATTTGATGATCAACATCTGAAACGTTGCCAGTGTTTTCTCTTTTCTCTATTTACAATAACCTTTCTCTTTCTCTAGTTACAATAACTTTTATTTTTTTGCATTGCATTGCACATTGTATTTGGTTGAAAAAGAGGTCAAAAACATGTTTAATCTCTGCAAATTTTTTTTTTTTGCATTGCATTGTAATGCAAATACATTGTATTTGGTTGAAAAAGAGGTCAAAAACATGTTTAATCTCTGCAAATTCCATTACAAACTGGATTGTGATCTTTGGGAAATCATTATCAATATAATTATTTATAAACCTTATAAGAAATTCCACACTACCAGGTTAACATAAAAATAACAAACAGACTCTCAGTCTAATCATTTCATTATGACATTAGCAGGCTTCTTTCTGTATCTTCTCTGAACCACTGAGACGTTTTGCTTATATGAATTAGATATGAATATTTTTCAGTTTTCAAGCACTAGGTGGCACTCTAGTCCTGGCAACATTACTGTGGTCTGTATTTCACATACAGTCTATGGTAATTCACCTTCATCAAAGAGGCCTCATGAAAGATGAAATACATGAGAAAAGATCAAGGTGAATGATTATTTTAATTTAAATTATATATTATAAATATTGATTATTTTAATTGATACATATATTACTTATTACATATACACATTTAAATACATTAAATGTGTGTGTGGGTTATTCCTGGGATTCGGTAACATTGTCTATGGTAATTCACCTTCATCATAGAGGCCTCATGAAAGATGAAATACATGAGAAAAGATCAAGGTGAATGATTATTTTAATTTAAATTATATATTATAAATATTGATTATTTTAATTGATACATATATTACTTATTACATATACACATTTAAATACATTAAATGTGTGTGTGGGTTATTCCTGGGATTCGGTAACATTTCAACTTGGAAATTTGTTTTCAACTACATATGGATCTAAATACCCCACATCATAAGCCACATATCAAACCTCCCAAAAAAATCATATTTTCCCACCTCAGGCATTAAAGAGCTTTTATTTATTTTTTCAGATTTAGACACCTTTTATTCTCAACCCCGTAACAGACAAAATGGGATTAGTTTAAAAAGGATTTTACACAGAACCTGTTATAAAACAAACATCTACCTACTGCTCATGTGTCCCTCATAACGATTTAATGATAACAAATGTAACATTTATCACAATTTTCACATTTTTATAGGACTGAAGTTAAAAATAGACAAATTGTGTGTCTATAGTCTGTTTTATTTTTGTAAAAAAAAAATCTTTTTAATTTAGATGTTTAACTAAAACCACATTTTTATTGTTTTAGTCCTTTAACGTCAGATGGTAATCAGCAAGAAATGCTTTCATTTTTAATTGTCTTCCCTTTTTTCCCCAAAAATATTAATGTGACAAAGTGTGACGGGGTTGAAGACTGTAACACATTTGAAGTAATACATTGCCTTCAATTTTAATTTTCCGTTTTTGTTTCTTTCTCATATTGTCCTCTTCCTTCTGGGTCAACATATCTGCATTCCCAACATTGTCTTTCTGCTGCTAATGTGGATGCAATTTCTGATGTAGGATGCTTGTCAAAATTTAAGTGGACATATATTAAATATTCTATTTATAACAAAAATATGAGTTGTCATTATTTTGGTAAGTATATATTTACTGAAACAATGACTATTTTATATATTTTTTAATAAAAATTAATAATAATTTTAGTAAATAACTCAACCCTGTCACAAGTTTACAACCCCAAAACAATTAGAAATATACATATTTGTGACAGGGTTGAGCGTGATGGGGTTGTATTTTTTTGTTGTTGCTCAAAATGGCCACTGCCCCTCATGTAGCGTAGGAGAGTAGTCCATATATTGCAGCAATAAAATAAGCACATTGTATATACTTATGGATTAAAATAAAATGTCAAAAAATAATAATTTTCCATCTTAATTTTATGTAACAGGGTTGAGTTGTTAAGCTTGACCGTACCATCCCTGACTATAATACACCTCAAAAATAAGAATAAAAAGTATGATACTACTTACCATTTTCTGCACCACTATTAAATAGACCCGAATGATGTCATTTCTGGTAAATGGTGTCACATATGGGTGGAGTCTAATTTATTACGAGCATTGAATGGTTAGTGTGTTGAGCTCAGACTGAGGAACATAACCTTAAAGTGTTTTTTCTAAAATATATCTCACAAGAAAGGAACACAAATAAATGCTTACATTATTGCCAAAAAATTTAGACACCGTGCACATTTTGTTAATAATTTTCTAAGTACAAACTCAGTGAAGTGCCTCAGGGACATGATAAAATGCTTGGTGTAAGATAGAAATGAGATATTTTATGCTAAAAATTATTTAAATGCAATAATCGTTTTTATTCATTATAATGGCCATACCAAAGTATTGTGAAAAGCTTTTAACACTTTAAAAAGGGACTGAAATGTTGCCGAATCCCAGGAATGACCAGTGTATATAAATATGTATATAATATATAAAAATACATATGTACACATTTATATTATAGTAAATATAATATTCAAATATATTAATTGATAAAACATGTTTGTGCTAATGTAAAGGTGGGCATAGACAGAAACTGTATCATATATAATTATCAAGCGAAATAATCGGAATGCCAACACTCCAACTTTATTCCCATCTCATCCTTTATTTTGTTCATGAGCAAGCATCGACTTCACTATAATTACTCCTTTGAATAATAGAAATGTGAATGAGCTGGAAGGAGCATCCAACAGTTCTACAACATCCCCAGTTTTCATTTCTACAGCAAAAAAAATAAAAGTAATTCAAAATGTGAACAATGACCACTGAAGGCTGCAAATCTGAGACAGATAATCTTTGATTCAGTAGTATCACCAGTATCCTGTCCCATCTACTCCGCTCCAAACCCACAGTACCATATGCCAGTTACAGGAAATATTTATATCTTGTGTTATACATGCAAAGACAATGCCCCGTTAGACAAGCACCATCTGCAGCCGTTCAACACTCAGCACAGACTGCTTTTATTTATTATGGAAAGTTTCTGCGCCAGTGCCTTAAAATCGTCAAAATCACATTGTTTGAAATACAATTCACATGAGCTTTCCCTTGAGAACCTGCAGATGAATATTTGCATCAGGGGACAGGAGGGAAGATACAAACAATTGTGCGATTTTCAGTACAAACATTGATTATACTAAATTTGGTCTCATGGAATGGTCTACATCGATCAACCAGTTTTCAAAAGGATTGCAAGTTGAGAATACACTGTGAGAGACTTACGTTAGTGTGAGAAATCATTATGTATCTGCTTCTTGTGAATTTCATGCTGCCCTCTACAGCGTTATCAGGAGATACACCTTTCACTATACACATATTCTTAAACTCATACCCACATTTGCTGCCTATAATAATGTACATTTTTTCGAAGTGGATTTCCTCAAACATTATTTAGTACAATATTCATTGATGATACAGTATGGACCTATTTTCTCTACACATCAACATGAACACAAGACATCTATTCAGGACAATTAAAACGTCCACTCTTGATAAAACTAGCTGTTGATCCCTAACAGAAAATTAAAATCACTTCCGCATACCTGTAAGAAATCTAATATTAAATCATTATAAAATGAGAAAATTGCAACAACTAAAATGACATGGATGAATGTTTGGTTAGTTGTGTTATTAATGCGCTGTGACAGGCTAAAGGCACTCCCAACTCCGCCAGCTAGAATTCTGGACCTCTTTTTAAAAGTCCTGTCAATTTTGAAGGGGGGACCTGATGACCAAAACATGTAATCTCCCGTCGCCCTTTCATGGGTCTCAAAAATGGACCTTCTCGACAACTTCCCACATTGTACCTTTTCTGACATAACAAAATTATATTCATACCACCAATCATAACAAAGCCTTGTAGCCTAGGCCTTAAACTGAGAATATTCAGGCATGTAAACAAAACAAATCTGTACCCTAAAGCTTCACGTCCGTCTTTACTAAACAATCAAACAATGTACAATGTCCTAAATAATCAACATTCTTTTTTCCAGCCCAAAGGGAACGGAGTATTAATTTCTCCAATAAATGACCATTTTGGAGGGGGTGCATCCCAAAATGTCCAATCACGGTAAGAAAATTAAACTATGGCATGATTCTGAGAGCGTCTACGAGGAGAAATGACCTGCAAATCTGGAGTAGATTGATAGCATCACCAAAAAGGAATAAAAGTTTACCAAATGTAAACAAATATCTTTACACAACTCTACAGTACAGTTCCATGTACAATAAAATCCAACGGCCATACTGCAAAAATATGTTATGCTTTAAGAGTTGAAATGCATTTCTTTTAATGCGCTGATAGGCAAATTAGCCCTTTTAATGCTTTTAGGGGCCTTGAAATGACAAGAATAACTTGGGTTAACCCTGAATTTGAAAATAAAAAAAACATCACTAAAAATACTACATATATATAATAAAATCAACCCAATAATTTTGTTTAGTACACTTAATGTAACTGACCATCTAAATTTAGCAAGAGGTCTGTTGAAACAGTACACAACGGACCTTTCAATGCTCACATTGTCGATAAATCACCAGCGCACCCATTTTCCATTATTCGAACTGGGTTATTAGAGTGCATACTGTGATTCCAATTGGTCTCTATTTATTACAGAAAATACAAGCACTATCACTTAAGAATGGCTTAAATAACTGCAGTGTGCCTAAACTGTACAACATACAGTACCACGTGAAAAAAACAACAGTATATTCATCACCTGAATGTGATTATTAGTCCCCAAAACGTCACTGAAATAAAAACACTGAAGCCTTGGTGTAGCTTTTGTGCTATTGCAAGCCCAGCTAGAATTAGCATATGTAAAGCAAAAGCACTGAACCAACTCTACGCCCATCCAACACTACGAAACGAAACGGAACGAAACGAAACAAAAAGATGCACACCCACCTCCAAGAGAAAAGACAAAATGAATGACACTTTGCCACAGAAACCTCAGCCTCTGGGTTTCTCTCTGTGAAGCGGACGTCTTTTGTACGAGCATGAGATTTACTGAAAGTTTCTGAAACATGCTAAGAGCATCTGACACAATATTCTACAGCAGGTACTGTGTTTTTTTAGATACCGGAAACCATTGGTTAGGCTTTCACTAACACACTGACTAATTACATGGTTTTGTCTTATTTACAAAATATCAAAAAGCAGTTGTCTTCCATACCCATGATTCCAAATCTTGCCATGCAATATAAAGAGGAAAAAAAGTGATCGGAAAGAGTTTTTCCTCAAAATTCCTTTAGCGAATCAACCTAAAACATCATGTGCAAGGAATATACATTAAATCATTCTCAAAGCTCAATTTGAAAAGTAAAAGTGCAGGGATGTGTCCATACAGAGCTTTAAAAAAATGCAAATGCAGGTCAGGATTCCCTCGGATAGGACAGAAAAAGATTCAATAAATTAGGAACTTGTATTGAGATAGCTGTGATACTATACTACACTGAATACCACCACAATAAGATGTCGGTAGGGAAGCCTTGGCAGGTGGAAATGAAGCGGACTGTCACGACAGACACCGGATATATTCGTATCTATATTGTACATATATTGTATAGTTGTTTAGTTTTCAGTGTTTTCTGCATTTTTACGCATGGCTCCTTAGGTAGGGGGAACATGGGCGTCCCTATTGGCAGAGGGATGTGACTGTGTGTGGGTGGATTTGTCATCGTGTGAGTTTGTGTGTGTGTGTGTGTGATGGTAAGTAGTGTGTACTGTGTGCTCAGGAGGATCAGTAGGTGGAGTCGTCCCACTCCAGCTGCTGCTGTCTGCTTGAACCCTGCTGGTCTTCCTGTTCGCCACCCTCATCCTCACTGCTGTCTGACTCTGCGCTAGTGATGTCGTCTTCCTCCTCTCCATCCTCGCTCTCTTCCTCTTCCTCATCTCCTTCCTCTTCGCTGCTGTGCTGATCCTCGTAAGTCTAAGAGGAAGAGAGAACTGGACCTTCTTTAAACTGCATAACAGATTTATTCAAAAGATTTGAGTTATGAGCAATCAAATTCTTATTATAAAAACAGGGCCCAAACTTTTTTGTCAACCGAACCCCTAATGTAAAATATTTACTTGAAGCACCCCATGAGATTTTACATTAATATTTCAATAATTTAATGACACATCTGCATGTTCAGGGTTCACTGATGTTGGTTAATGTCACATGCTATGAAAGATAAACAGATAAAATATCTAACCTTTTTAGTAAGCGTTTTATTTTGATTGTTTTTATTTTAGAATAAATTTTATTTATATAGATTTATTTATTTATTTTAGATTTGGCTAAAAAAATCTATTGTGATTTTGACGTCATATATTGCAATTTTGTGCAATTGCGATTTGACTTCTGGTAAAGTTATATAGTTTATATATAATATAATCACTATAGATAGATAGATAGATAGTGATTATATTACATTATAATATAAGCTCTAAATAATAGTGATTATATCATATTATATAGTGATTATTGGATTTTTTAAAAATTATAAAAAAATATATTAAAAAAAAAAACTTACAGTTAAAATGAAAACCAAACTAATGATTTCAAAAGTGAACCAATAATTTTATTCCAAGCCTCTATAATGGAAGTCCGTGCTTTATGAATCACATCAAATGATCTCTCTGTAATGGCAATATCGCTGAAATTACCAAATTTAGTACTTCTTACAGCAACCAGAATGCAAAAAAATAGCTGTTTAGTTGACTGAAAATCCATATTAGTGGACAAATGAACAGGATGAGGAGGGATGGTAATAAAGGGGCATTTTTACAACTGTACATTGAGTATTTTTGATGGGTTTAGGCCTCTGCTGCATTAACTATGCATGAGTGTTCTAAGAGCGCTGAGCGAGCAAGCTCTGTTCCTTTTAGAACGCACCTCCATTGGGTTGACGGTGATGGTGAGGGCAGAGTCATCCCAGTCCATCTCGTTCTCTTTGCCGTTTTCCTGGTCCCTCAAGGTGCCCTGGTGGGCAGCACGGATACGGAAGACACCAAGGATGATCATAAACACCAGGAAGCTCACGCACACAACAATAACAACGGTGGCTGCGCTGGGGACAACTGTGAAGAGTGGATGGACACAGATTAGCATTTGGTATTTAGGGTGATAAAAACCTAAAAGAGGTTGTCTGAGGTGCCCCTCACAGGCTGTCCAGATGTTGTAAACAGCACTTGTATATAATCCCTAAAAGTGCGCCATTAAAAACAGGCTAAGTACACGGCGCTCCATAACTGCCCTACTTTTTAGATTGACTTTAAGCTGCGGAAAAACTCATGGAAAGAAACTGAATTCAGGTTTGAGCTCGACATTAAACAGCTTATTCATTTGATAACAAAGTCTGGATTATCTTTAATGAGAGATTAGTGCAATAATCTAGGAGAGATACTGTGAGAGATGAAGCAGCCAATGAAACGCCTTTATCTCCAAGAGAAGTTGAACAGAGAAGCAGAGAAGCTGGGGGGGGGGGGCCCGGAGGCCTGATGCATGTAAGCCAGGTTGTGTCCAGACAGGTCCACTGAAGCATGCTGTACTTGGTTGATGAACTGAGGCTGTACCATAGCGTTGTTAGCATGATCCATGGGGTTGGCTGTATGGATCACGTTGACCTGATTACATAAACAATAAAGACGGTCACACAACTGGCATCTGCATAGTACAATACAATACAGTTTGCTACAGAATCAGTCTCTTTATATCCTTATTTGGCTTATTTTGATATAGCCTTGTATACAGCATTTTTATATTAACAGAACCCTTAAAAAAACATTGATTTTTAGCATTTATACATATAATGTAAATTCATATAATAAAAATGTGCATAAGACCATATATAAAATAAAAAATAAAAGCTAGAAAATGATTTATATAATTTATTTTTTTCAATCTACACACTACAGTTGAAAAGTCTGGTGTCCATTTATTCTTTTATGTTTTTAAAACAAGTCTCTTGTAATCAAGGATGCATTTATTTGACCAAAAATACAGTAAAAACAGCTTTTAAAAAATTTGTTTTTCCTTTTAAATATATTTTAAAATGTAATTTTTTCTTGTGATGGCATAGCTGAATTTTCAGAATCATTACTCCAGTCTTCAGTCACATGATGCTTCAGAAATCATAAATAATAGTTCTTATTATTAGCAATGTTGAAAAAAGTTGTGCTGCTTAATATTTATGAAGAAACGTTTTTTCAGGATTCTTTGATGAATAGAAAGTTTTAAAAAACATTATTTATTTCAAAATAAATCTTCTGTAACATTATAAATGTCTTTACTGTCACTTTTCATATATTTAATACATTGTTGTCGAATAAAAGTATTAATGTCTTACAAAAAATCTTACTGACCCCAAACTTTTGAAAGGAAGTGTGTATATATACAGTTAACTGTAGTAAATATAACTGTAGGTATATAGCAGAAACTATGGTTTTAGTGGGACATTTTAGTGAAAGTAATAAATAATTGTTTACATTGAGGACAGTGTGTGGTCAGCTATACCTCGACTTTGAATTCATTGCTGATGTAGCGGCCATTGAGTTCAGAGCAGACAAGTTTAAACTTCCTGTCAAACAGAGCCTCTGTGTGCCAGTTCCTGTAGCGGATCAGATGCAGGACCTGTTCATAGTTCGCCATGGTGTTAACCCCTGTGGACAGAGACAAACTTTAACTATTTGTCAAGATTACAGTACTGAAGCTTTTAATACCATTAGATCAGCCATTCAGCAAGATGCTGGATATAAACTACCATGAACCAAACTCACAAATATAATCCAAAAAATGTGTGCGAATATATTGCAGTTTTGTTGATGTAGATGGATGAGTACCTGTGATGACCATGCCCACGTTGGAAGAGCTCATCTCCAGAGCTCTCTGCTGGATTTGGGCCAGATCCACCTCCAAACTCTCATGATCTCCATTCAGTTCATCTCCCACCACAGTCACCTCACACGTGTCCAAGTTATGCATAATCTCCTCAGATACCACCGTCTCTTGCACTGACAAAAAACAAAAACCATCCGTCAGTAAGTTAGAGCAGAACCTCTCCATTTGATTACATTTGATCTTGGAAAGACTTGAATGTTCAAAAACAGCCCACCATGCAATTTTATGGCAAATATCGATTGCAAGGAGCAATCTCTAAGAAATACTTACAATGCACTAAAACATAAAATAAAAAACATTAGCTAAGAGAAAACGTCTTAGACTTTCTTTTCCTAAAGCATAAGCATTCATCCCAGAATCTATTATATAGACAACATGAGTTTTTCTACCTTTTGAATATAAACATGTATTGAATATAACATGTACCAAAATATTGCTCAAATAAACTGTTTAACCATTTGCATTTCCATTTAATATGCTGTTCCAAATCAATATAACATCCTCTCTTGTGTACAACACGAATGTCATATAGATTTGGAATAAATTATGACAGAATTTTCATTTCATGGGTAACTTGTCCCTGTAAAATTCCTCTTGTGGCCAATGTGGAAACTACTCCTGGTCAATCTGCTTACAACTTCTTTTCTCTTTCATGATCCATTTCCCCTCTCTCCACCTTTCTCAGCAAAACATGTGAATCTCACATTCCCAGCGTACCTGTTGGATCATCCTCGCCTTCGGCCTCGGTCTCAGCTTCCACCTCCACCTCCACCTCACGGGTGATGGTGCTGACGATGCGCAGCTCAGGGAAGAGCGTAACGCCCTCCGTACTCTCAAATTCAGCTGCTCCACGGGCAAAATGGTCAATTCCACTGAGGCTGATCTTTGGCTCCTCTGGCTGGAGAACCATCACGTATCCTTCAGAGTCAGGCACAGAGATGCACGTCTCCTCATTGAAGCATCTAAAGAATTACAAAGGAGATAAAGCATAATACATTCATCATTATAAGTGTACTAAAAGTATGAATAGATTTTTTTTTTTCATTATTAGCTTTTCTGTGTTATTTTGGAGCAATAATATTTCAAAGTGGGTGGGGCTTGCTTGAGTGATGCAGCTGAACTGAAATGATGGAAACTAACTTGACAGTGGTGGTGACACGCAGATGGCGGATTCCTGGGGTGGGGAACTGCCGGGAATTTAGGTAGGAGATGTGCTGCATGACCTTCTCAAAGCTCTCAATGTCATCTCCCTCCAGAGTCAGAGAGGACTGGTTGGGGTTAAACTCCACCTAGAGAGAGACATATATCCATTTGATTAACCTTGGGAACACAAATTAAGACATTTTTAATTAAATCTGCTAAATATGTCGACCTAAAGTAATTCTGCTCATCATACAAAGTGATCATATCTCTTCACAAGACTTGGGTTAAACCATTCATTTTTATGATGCCTTTGTGAACTTTTTGGATCTTCTAAGTTTTGGTTACCTGGATTTGCAATGAATGGACAAAAACCGTTTAGGTTTCATTAAAAATGCCTTAATTTGTGTTAGGGCTGCACGATTAATCGAATGCGATTGTCATGCGCATCTCGTCAGTAAAGCCAGTTCTGTGATTAGTAGTAAATCTCCAACACGTGCTTTCAGATGGAGCAGCGTTTACTACACAGAGCCGTAGTTCACTGACAAGCTACGCAAAATCGCGTTCATAATCGCAGACGATTAAATCGCACGATTATGAAATCGAAGAAATCGTTGTGCGATTATGAAAGCTGTTTGCGTAGCTTATCAGTGAACTACGCCTGTGTAGTAAATGCTGCTCCATCTGAAAGCACGTGAAAATACCACATTTAATAACATGTTTTTACTCCAAACTATTCATAACGCCAGTCGAGTGTTTGAAATAAATCCTTCTGTGAGATGATGTGGCTTCTTACACAGAATAAGACACGCAACATATTTCATAGTATTCTAAGCAGTGATAAAGGCTATGTCGATTAGCATTGTATTATTATATACTTTATTTATTATGAACTCGGATAAACCATATATTGTCGTAGACTTGTGTTTATTAGTCATGTTGAATTAATGAAAGCAGTTAAATCTTCTGTTTATTCAGCAACCGCTATAGGGATTTCCTGGGTTTCTTCTGCGAGGCGTATTTGGGGTTTCAGCACGAGAGCGCCCTCTGGCCTTCGGATGGAGATTTACTACTGATCACAGAACCGTGCTTCACTGAAAGATACGCATGACAATCGCAGCTTCTGCCTAATCGCGATCGCGATATCGCCTTTGCAATTTAATTTCGATTAATCGTGCAGCCCTAATTTGTGTTTTAAATAGTAACCAAAGTCTTAAGGGTTTAGAACAACATGAGGTGTATAAATGATGACAGAATTTTCATTTCTAGGTGAACTATCCTTCTGACAAAAATTAAAAATATTTCTATCATGACAACTCTCAGAAGATTTTAGCATGGTAATGGAAATGACAATGTTAATGTATTTGGTCTTGGCGGAACAGATCTGCTACACTGCTGAATTGCTGCTACTGTTGGTTATTGCTGTATTTGTAGATTATTGCTGCTGCTGCTGCAAAGCAAGTACAGGAACTTGCTACTGCCAATACATAAGCTGATACAGTGCTGTGAGTATTTAAGACATACTGCTGCTGCACAAATAGCATATATAATAACCTGTAGCAGAACTATACAGGTGGAGCTGGGGAAGGTGGAGGGTTTCAGAGGAACTCTATGTGAAATGCTCTAGTGAATGCTAACCAGCCATTTAAATGTTATGCAGTAAGCTCACTGGCTGCGTATGCAACATGAATCAGCTTTTGCTAAGTTGTTTAACACTGTGAATATCATCAGTTTGTGTTAACGATCCATCAGTCTGCGCCATCTAGTTTCATGACAGAAATTGGCATTAAAAATAATTTTTGGGAATTCAAATTAAAATATTAAAAATATTAGATGAAAAAATTACTAAAACTAAATCTGACATAAAAATAAATTAAAGCTATTAAGCAACATTAATATAAAAACGAAAAAAATGACAAAAGCATATACCAAAATGACTAAAAATTAAACTAAAATAAAACTGAAAACTGAAAATATAAAAATAAATGCTAATTCAAAATATTAATAAACACTATAATGGTCATAAAAAAACAACTTGCCCCTTTTAGACTTGCACTGTATTTATTTACTAACTGCTTGTTTTCTTTAAAAAAAAAAACTAACATTTGCTTCTCTAATCTTTCTGTATTCTATCTATTTGTTTTCTTTTATTTATTATACAATTAACAAAAGCAAAAAAGGCCTCTAACACTAGCTTGCTCTATTCTTTTTCTATTCTATCTGTTTTCTTTTTATTTATTATATGATAAAAAAAAAAACTTGCTACGTGTACTGCATTAAGCTAACTGAGACTTGTTATAGCACTTGCATATCATTGCTCTTTTGTTGATTTTGATTGCTTCCATTGTCCTCATTTGTAAGTCGCTTATAAAAGCATCTGCTAAATGACTAAATGTAAATTTAAATCTCTCTTTCTTTCTCTCTTACACACACACACACACACATCTGTTCTCAGCTGAATGTGCCTGATAGTGCTTGACCGTCATGTGAATGTAAAGTGATGTTGTGGTGGCCACTGTTTCTCAGGTTGCCCCGTCTAATACTCAGAGGACTATAGAGTTTCATTGAGTACAGAGACCCACTGATCATTTAGATTGTCTTGTATGATACCAAGCAAATGGGCCTTTTTGTGTCCTAATCCTCACATATACACGCAGGGCCGTCCTTAGGGGGGTGCAACTGGTGCGGTCTTCTTTTATTTCCGTGTACTTAAAACCATATATATTTCATATTTTTTGTTATTAATTTCAGGCCCTATTTTGCACCCTGTTCATGTAAAATGCCTATTACTATAAATAGTACTAGATTCAAGTACTAGTACTAGATGAGCCTTAATAAAACATGCAGATTGTGTTATTCCTGTGGCTGTAACGCTTGCTCAGAGCGAGCTGTTTGGCAGAACGATCTGCTGCAGTTTGCGCATGAGTGTCCTGTGTTTAGCAACAGAATTTCAAGCCATTACACCTGGCTTGGTGACAATAATTATCACTTCCAAGCAAATGTAACTAACCTAATTACTGTCTACAGAGTTGTCAAGCTTCAAAATCTGAACATGAAAACAAAAACAAGAAGGCAAATTAGCTCAATTAGATGCCAAGAGGAAAACGCACTGTTGTTACGTGCTGTTGTTATGATACGAGTCATTTTTCACTTCTTGATGACTTTCCTCCTTTCATCTTTTCTCTGTTCTTCATCAGAAGAACTGCAATCACACTCGACCACAGAAGAAAACATTCTGCAGCAAACTGATAGAAACAGAATCCTTCTACTGATAAAGCCAGCCAGATGCTTCTGTGATGACAATCAGCTGTGCACTTTCCTGTTGATGGAGGCAAAACACACACCAAGTCTTATGGAGGTTTTTGATCCACTAAAGTCATCCGCTGGATCTGCGTCTCTCCATCAATGGCACTTTTAACTGTTCAAGATGCTTTGAGGTAGCTAATGTTGAGCAGCATAACTGAGGTTTGGAAACACTTACTGTGGTCACTCCAGTGTCTAGCGGTGCCATGGGAATAGAGCTTCATTTCTGTGGTATTAGTGCAAAAGAAAACATTACAAAGGCCATTGTGAGAACAAAGCTTTTCTTGTGCAGTTTAAAGGAATAGTTAAACCAAAAATGAACGTTGTCATCATTTACTCGCCATGTTGTTCTGTCCCCATAATTTCTTCCATTAAATGCTACAGCAGTCCGAACGGTTATTTTCCACACAACGACAAATCATTGTGACTGCGACTTTCAAGCCCCAAAAATGACAAAACGCAACACCACAGTATTCTGAAAATAGTCAATACAACTTGTGTACTATATTCCAAGTCTTTTGCAACCATGCAACAACTACCAAAAATTAAAGCTGTCATTCATTGATAATCTTGCTGGTGTTCAGTTCAAAAACAA